CAAAAGTAACTGTAGCAATGTAATTTAATTAAATCTGTAATTTTGTATATGAATATCTACAGGATATTCAAATTTCCTACACAACTTAAATTTTACCTAAGTTCTTTCTTTACTCCTGTCATTTATAAATATAACCATGATAAAAGTTATTTTTACAATTTTATGTCAATTTGTTTTTATTTTTCGGGTAATTTTACAGATTTCACGACTGCGTCTAACCAATTATGATAACAATAATTTCTAAAGCTCTAATAGTACTGGGTTTAAGCCATTTTTTATTCCTCATACCTACTGAACTCCAGTTAACTTCTTGATTCATTCAATTGTAGACTGTTAATTTTTTCATTCAAGTCAAGACAAGTTTTAATTCACAAAGTATTCATTAAAAATGTTATCAAAACAAGTTTTATATCTTTGATATGGGTATCGTACTTTTAGTATGAAAAGAATAACTTTTTTTTCCAAATTAATATCCAACAGTGATTTTATTATTGAATTATACATGTAAAATAATTCGCTTTTTCGATGGAAGTAAAATGTATAAGGGAAATCTTCCTTAATTGAAAAAAAAGCAAAATATGTTGCGGAGTCGTACAACTTTCAAATATCGAGCCATAAAGTAAAATAATTGACGTATAAACAAAGGAAACTGAAAAAAAGGTAGTGACTATTCTTCGATCGATTTTGATGATGTATAAATTATTGCAAAATCTTTCTGTTGCTGTATGGCTCCTTGTTTGGAAGTTATGTAATTTTGCAACTTATTTTGCTTTTTTTCGTAAACAGGGTCAAAGAACATTTACTACATTTTACGTAAATTGAAGGAGCAAATCTTTTACATTTAATTCAACAATATAATACCTGTTGGACATTACAGTTAGGAAATCACTGTGATTTCGGGACAATTCATGGATACTATTTGATAAAATTTTAACTTCTCGATAGTAACACGAACAATCATTGTAAGTCAAGTTGCCATGTAAGGTTGTAGTCAAGTTATTTTTATAGGTCTATGGCGCAAGTAAGAGCTATGATACGTCGTAGAAATATGCAAGTCTAGTCTCTCTTATTCTTTATTAAATACCTACTCAAAATTAAGTCTTGCATTGGGAATTTGATTAAATGCGGCAAAACTACAGTGCAGGGCATATACTTATCTATATCTATCCTCTGCGGGAAAGAGGCAGAGGCTGAAGATCACTACCGGGCAAATTTAACGAGACACTCGTCCACTTCGAAATCTCTTGCACAAGGAGGAAGCGGCAGGGTAGTTTTAATTTATACATTAAATATTTAAAATGTGTGATAGTCATTCGTATATGGCTGTAAATCGTCAGAAATGTGCTCGGCTGCCCATCTCCAAAGCAGAAGACTATAATATTTATTTATGAATTAACTATGTGATATAATTTCTTTCTATTATGTTCATTATTATTATTATTATTATTATAATATTTTTTAGCTGCATTCTGAACATCTGGGTACATTGCTAACTTGTTTGAGAATATATTATTATCTCTCCTTTATATGAAATTTCTTTAGATTAATTTTCCACCCACAGTATTATATTTATATGAATAATATATTATAATTCTAAACTTTTATTGATGACTGACAGAGGGTGAGACAGCGGAGGTCTCCCGCGAAATACAAATTTTTGTTTATCCTTAACATAATCTCTGAACCATGGTAACTATTGTGAGATCTGAACAATGGTATATGGCACATACATATGTTAAATTTATTACAAATACATGTAATTATATAAAATGATAAAGCTATAGACACATATCAGTAATTTTACGTTAAAATATGAAAATAATAATAATAATGTTATTATAAAGACGTTAAATATTAGTTGGAAATAGTTAAAAAATTTTTTATAACAGTTTTATGTCAATCAGATTGTAATAATACAATGATTTCATAAAGAATAACCTAAATTCTACATCCCATACCAAGCTGCTCTGCCTAGTATAATAGGTCGCTCTTGCAATTTCGACCTTTTTTTTTATTTTGCACCCGATATGTTACACATATATTCTTATGTGAAAACTGTAATTTTTACGTCAAGTGCGCTATATTTGATTTAAATGCATACAAAAATATGAATATAGAAACGAAGCCAAATAAATAAATAAAAACTACAAGATGTTTATAAATTAATAACAAAGTTCCCTTTGGAAAAAAAGTTTATGTATATATTATTTATAATCATTATACGCACATTCTGTCATTTTTTTCAAAATACACATGAGCACTTACAAAGCAGTGAATATTTATCTTTAACTAAAATCTAGACTAAATCGAAATGTTAAATTGTTAAGAATAATAAATTATGGAACTGTGTTATTAATTCATACATTTTTAAATTTTAATCTTTATCTTTCCACCTGTGATTTCTTTCAGTTATGTCTGTTGTTGAGTAATTAATCTATAATTCATTATACATTTAACTGTGTATTTACTGTAATAACTTTACTTGATTAAGACTTTTTTTTTTTTTTATTCAAAACATGTAAAATTTTTCATCAATTGTAAAATTGTGAACATTAAAAATAACAGTAAATCCAAGTTTATAGCGCCAAGTTCAGCTTCGTCAAAAACAAGACTACAAGGAAGAGCCATGTAGCGAAAATTACTGCTTCACGTACACGTACCATAAATTATCATTACGCTGTGCAGGCGCTAAAAGATGGTCACGAGGGTTCGCTTACGCGACACGCCTTCATACTTAGCCCGTCATAATTGGATATTTTTATTTCATGCACGTGTCCTTTAATGTATCGCATCTTCTATGGTGCGAATAAATTTTACGCTGACCTGGATGTTTCTATAAAATGTTCATACCTCACTTTTGGGACGCTTTTAGTATTTTTAAAAACTAACCCGTGAGATTTAAAGATTTTTTGGACCTGCATTGCAAAAATGAAGATACATTTA